GCTGCTGCCGCGCTCTCATCTTTTCCGTGTCTAACAATCTTCGCTCCATGTTTGTGGTTGAGAGCTGTCCCCGGGTGGAGTCTACGTGCCCAGTGTTCTGTTTTCGTCCAGGGCATTAGCGATGCCATTTCTGATGAGGGACCTGCTGTCCTCCTGATTTCTGTGTTTCCCTGAGCAACGTGTCTTTCTTCTCTGGCTGCTTTTAACACGTCCCTATGTCACTGGTCTGAGCAACCGGACGGTGAACATATTCTCCTTACCCGTGTTCAACTATGGAGCTTTACAACCACCCTTTCAGATAAACACAGTCACGTGTTGTTTAAAGATGGGGACACGTCCTGAGACACGCATCCTTAGGCAACGTCGTCGTGCGAACATCAGTGCGAACTTACACAGACCCAGACGGGAGAGCCTCCCACCCACCTGGGCGCCACAGTACGGAAATTGTGGGACCACCGTCATACATGTGGTCTGTCGTTGACCAAAATGTCTTTGTGCAGTACATGACTGTGGATAAACAGAGGCACGGGGATGCAAGGTCCCTTTTCCAGTGTCACTTGGCCGGCCGGTGGGCGGCACCGACAGAACCTGGGCTGTGTCCATCTGATTCCAATGCCTGAGCTGCTGGGCCCTCCTGGCAGCTGTGCCAGCCCCGCCTGTGTGTGCAGGTCGGCGGGACCCAAGGGCTGGAGGGGAGGACCTGCTCGGAGCCCCCAGGTTCATCCCACTTGGGGCAGCAAGGCCCCTGGACCGGTGTTGCCGTGGCCCCGTCTGCAGACTAGACGCCTGCTGGAGTCCCTGCATCTGTGCCGCAAACACTGTGCACAGGCCTTTGAGATTTTACCATGATGTTTTCTTCCCCTGGACTCTTTTCCTCTCTGCCGTCTGGTCAGACTGAGTTAAGCAAGAACTGCTGGCACAGCCGCCATGATGGCTAAACGTGAAGAACCAGATCGAGCCTGGCGTCCAGCGCCAGCCCGCATGGCCACTGCAGCCTGCCCTCCTCAGCCCTCTCCCGGCCTCCCGAGGGCCAACGGGCTGGAGGGACGAGCCGACAGCTGTCCAGGGAGAGCAGAGCCCCAGGCCCTCTCCCAGCCGGGCAGGCTGGGGAGCCAGGCGCGCCCAGCTCTGCCCTCTCGCCTGCACTCCTGGGCTGAGCGCTCACTGCTCATACACCCGTGGGGCGCGCAGGTGGATAGCAGTGAGCAGAGCCTGCGGAGAGAGGCTGCAGAGTTCAGACACTGCTGAGATGTAGGTGACATCATGAACTCTCTCCCCAGGTGCTTTGGGCAGGTCAGACGCTGTCTGGGGAACACATGGGGTCTTGGCCCAGAGGAGAGGTCCAGGGGTTCTGGGAGAAGATTCCTGCAGAAAGCAGGCAGTGTGGCCAAGCGGGTCCCCTGGCAGTGTTTCTACCCAGACCACTGGCCGGGGATGGGAGCAAGAGTGAGGACAGGCATGGGGGTGGCTCTCAGCCCCACCGAGGGGCAGCCCCAAGGCCCACTGGAGCCCTGGCCTTGTCGCGCCCTTTCTCACTGACGCATCGCTCACGTCGGCAAGCAAGCTCCGGGGTCCGCCAGTCTGCCTCCCTGGCAGCTTCCCCTGGCAGCTCCATGCCAGTGCCGAGAAGGCTTTTTTTGGGCTGAACTGACTTGATTTTCCCTCCCCATTGGGCCTGTTCCAGGGGCCGGCAGTATGTGAGGCTGCCAGTGAAGAGGCATCTTTGTTTGGTTAATTTTGCCCATTGGAAAACTCCGGTATTAATATTTATGAGAAATGACCTAATATCCACGCCGCCTGCCGTGTGTTTGCTTAACATAGTTAGTGTGATTTGGGGGCTGTGTTTGCTTTTTAACTGCCTCGGCGAGGGGACCTGACCTGTCTCCTCCCCCCGACGGAGGCGGGGCAGCGTTCTCTCTGCAGCCCCCGAAGTCCACTTTTTTAACGGCTTCAGAAATGTGTCCCAGGAATCCCGCCCGCCCAGCCCTCTGGGGGCGCCTGTGGGCTCTGCCGACATGAGCCATCGCGGTCTAGCCTGGGCCGGCAGGGCAGAGGGAAGGAGGATTTCTCCAGGAAAAGAGAAGAAAACACCTGAACAGCTTCTGAAAATAGCTGCTTGGGTAGTTATGAGACAGCTATTGAAATAAGTGCTTTCTCCCGTCTCTCCTGAACATAAAGGTAATTGTTTTTGCCCTGAAATAGATGGCCGGTTCTACTGTAAATTGATTTTCTTCTTTAGCATCCTTTTGTGCACCGTGTTAGCTAATGCGGAGCAGCAGGCCGGCCCCTCTGCGTGGGGGGGACGCAAGTGCCCCGGCCTAGGCCTGTCAACCTGACGCCGGGAAGATGTGTTCTGGGAAGACAGCCTGGCCTGTGTGGCTCCAATCCCAGCTCTGCTGCTTAAATGCTGTGTGACTTTCGACAGGTTGCTTCACTTCTCTGAGCCCTAGGTCCCCTTGAGGTAAAGTGGGAGTAAGAACACGAACAATTTCTGGCCCAAAGAACTGTCATAGGGCTGGAAACTGTACCTAGCCCACACTTGGCGCTTCTTCAAGGTGGTCAGACTGGCTTCCAGGGTGGGCATGGGGACCTGGGTCCAGTCTCTAGTGATATGGCTCAGAAACCCCTGAGGGGCTCCCGGGGCTCTGTGGCAGGCCCTCGAGCCTCCGTGGGGGTCCAAAGATGACACGGCACAGCAGAGGTCGACTCCTGGGCTCAGCTGGCTGGGCTCCTCGAGACGCCGAGGTGATGAAGGCACGGGCTCCGGGCAGCCAGGGGCCCTCGCCAGACCCAGGTGTCCCCACGCAGTGTCCCAGCACTTCCGAGACGACAAAGGACGCTTTTGCCAAGTGTCATCCAGACATGTGGGGTCTCCCCAGAAAATGTCCAGGGACGTTCCAGCTGGGAGACCCACAACTTGAGTGCTCGCCTAATAAGAGGAAGAGGGGTCATCGGGAGAGGCCCCTCCCATGTCACGAGGCGCCCCTTCCCAGGCAGAAGATAAGCACACGCCTCGCCCACAGGATGGGGAGGAGGGCATCCCAGCACAGTCTTCCTACGGGGTCCAGCGGCCAAGGATGGGGTACTCCTGTGATCCCTGACCCACCCAAGACCGGGGCTTTGACTCCTGCCCCAGGTGACCAGGCAGGACCACTGGCCGCTCATTTCCTGGGTCCAGGCATGCAGTTTGAGCGCTCCTGTGGTTCCCACCATCCTTTAGGGTAGACAGAGTTTCCCCGTCCAGCAGCCTCAGCACTGAGGTTTCGAGGAGCTCTGTCTACGGAGCCCAGGACGCCCCGGCCTCTCAAATGTACCTGCTCATGATACGGCCTCAGACAGGAAACAACAGACACAAAACTGCTGCTCACCAGTCTGTGGTGTTGGTCAAGCATCCTGGACCCTGTCCACCTCCCGGCCCAGCCGTCCAGCTGCGGCTCCCACGGATGCCCTGGACAGCCCCCCAAGCCTTCTCCACCATCTGTCTTCTGTGCGGAGACGAGGCAGCAACTGCAGCCCACCCAGGGAGCTGAGTGGGGCAGGCAGCAAGGGCTGGAAAGGAGAGGAGGGGCTGGGGGCACCCTGGTAGGGGACCCTCGTATGTGCCCTGATGCCGACCTGGTGTTCTCCTCTGAAACTTGATCCCTTCCACACTCTTCCCACCCGGGTCTGCCCCATGGAGTGAAGATGCGGCTCCCAGCCCTAATCGCCGGTGAGAGACACAACCAGCTGCCTGTTAGGACGGGCCTGTTGGCCTCCTGGGAGAGGACACCAGCACGCGTGGTCAATCAGCCAACACTTCCCAACATGCTTCTCGAATTACACGCCGCAGGGATGATGTCACGGCTGCCGCCAGCCCGAGCCAGAGAAGAAAGAGGCTCCTCTGTTCCACCCCAAGGGCCAGGACAGGCCAGCCTCTAGGTGCATCAGAGTTTCTCTCCCTTGGCTTTAGGAATGAGAGGACGATTGCTGGAATCCTTGTTCTTTTTCAGATTATGGAGGGAATATGTGCTCACTGTAGAGAATCTGGAAAATCTAAAAAAGCCAAAGGAAGAAACAGAAAATAGTCAGAACCTCACTCGTTATACAGCCTTATAGTATTTTCCATCATGTAGCTCTATTTACCGACCTACTTACTGCTCATTGACCCATGCATGCTTGCGTGTATCCATCCATCTTTTCATACATCCATTTATCCATCCATCCATCCATTTATCCATCGACCATCCACCATCCGCCATACAGGCGTACATTGGCTCATCCATCTACTCTTCCATCTATTCATACGTCCCTTCTTCTAGCCATCCACCCATCGAACCACCCATCTTTTCAAACATCCTTTGTTCTTGACCAGACCCCTCAATCTACCCAGACATGTTTCCTAAATTCAACGTTTAAGCATAAAAAAGGCAGATCATAAAACAATGAGCTCCTAACAGGAGGTGTGAGGTGGGAGTGCGAATGGTGTGGCACCTGCAGTTTGTATGTGTGAGTATGACTAAGAGTGTATGTGTGAATGTGCGTGTGTGTGTAAGTGTGTGTGTGCCGCTGCAGTGAGGGAGGCAGCCTGGCTGGCACAGTTGGCAGCACCAGACGTGAACTCTGCCTGGGCCTCCCTGAGAACTCCCTTAGCCGGACCACTGGCCCAGACTTCCATTCGTCAGGTCTCACGGGGAGCTGATGGCCCCCTGCTCTGGCCACCTTGCTCAGGCTTAGGGAGCATCTGGAGTCAAGATGGATGAGTGAGTCTTTGCTCGTCACAGAGCTGGGTGTGCGTGCCAGAGCCCACTCCCACACATGGTCCACGTTAGACGCCCCCCAACCCGTGTCCGTGGAGAGCCTGGCCCTGGTGGTCAGTCCCTGACCGCCCCCCCCCCCCAACCAGCCCACCTTCACTTCTAATTGGGCCGCAAAGCCATTTAATGGTGTCTGTGTGTCGGCAGGGCTGCTCGCGGCAGAACAATGCACTATTCATGTCCGAACAGAACACTAGTGATCGGGCTAATATCTTTAAGCTAAAAAGCAACGCTTAATTGGAACAGATGCTGCAAATTCCAGTGCAAAAGGCCAGCTCCTATGTGATCTAAACCAGGTATGTGCCAGGGGTTCGATTTTAATAGCGGCTTTTATTTTTTTATTGGCATATACAAAACTCTCTAATACTCTGCACAACAGACCGGCGACAGGACCCTTAGAAACTTCCATGCGCAAGGGGCCCACAGAGCTTTGTCGTCGTTGTTTGGGTTACAGTAAAGAGGCCCCACCATTTGGCCAGCTGTGCCCTGGTGGACGCTGGGCTCGCCTCTTCCCTGGGCCGAGATTTTGGGGCCTTTCCAGACCGCAGCAGCCGCCAGGGTGTTCGATCTCAGCAGTGAACGTCCTTCCCCGGTGCATCTGCTGGATCCGCTCGAGGCCGCGGGTCCCTGAAGACGAGGCCGCCCTCGTCAGGCAGCCTCCCACCTTCCCAACTCCCGCTGAGCGCTTTCCCACTGATGCGCCACTGCCCTGCAAACAAACTCTGACACTTTTCTCTAAAACTGTAGCTACCCGACAGCATGCTCCTGTTCTCAATGTCCTAGCTGAGTCGTCCGAGCTGGAAACAAACTTCCTGAGGTCGGGGTCTGCCTACATTTACACACAGCTTCCAGCACACTGCCCAGCACAGTGGGCTCTATTTTTCACGCCTTCCGCTTTTTCAGAGAAAGGTGCAAATCCCAAAGCTCCTGATTCTTCTTGGGACTTGGGGAAAAAACTGTCTCCTTGCTGTCCTAGGGGGCCCTCGTTCTGCTCAGGGTGGACCTCAGAGTATGCCTAAGAGTGGGCTGAACCAGAGGGTCCAGAGCTGCCTGGCCCATTCCAGCGCATGCTTTCATTCAGACAACGGAAGTTGTCGCCGCCTGACCTGCTTATCGAGGTCTGGCAACTGCCTCAGGTTCCAACACTGTTCCCATCGTAAAAGCTCAAATGAGTGTGGCCTCCTGGACGGTGAGGGCTCCTGTTGGCTGGAACTCCTGAGACCCCAAGGGAGCTGTTGGCAGGATTTATCTGAACAAATGCCTCAGGAGGGAGCCTTGGCTTCAGGTAAAGCCCAAGGCTTCAGAGCCTGCCATCCACCCACCCTTCCATCCACCATCCACCCACCCACCCACCATCCATCCATCCATCCATCCACCCACCCACCCGTCTATCCACCCACCCATCTATCCACTATCCATCCACCTACCCACCATCCATCCATCCATCCACCCACCCATCCACCTACCCATCTATCCACCATCCATCCATCCACCCACCCATCCACCTACCCATCTATCCACCATCCATCCACCCACCTAATCATCCATCCATCCATCCACTATCCATCCATCCATCCATCCATCCACCATCCATCCTTCCATCCATCCATCCACCATCCCCATCTATCTATCCATCCACCATCCATCCATCCAGCCACCTATCCATCCATCCATCCATTCATCCATCTATCTACCCACCTAACCATTCATCCATCCATCCACCCAACCATCCACTTATTCATCTATCCATCCACACACCATCCATCCATCCGTCCATCCATCCACCATCCATGCACCCATCCATCCATCTATCCATCCATCTGTCCGTCCGATAAGTACTTACTTGGCCCCTACTAAGTGCCTGGCTGGTGCATGGATTCCCTCCCTCCTAGCATGCATGTGGCACACTCTCTCCTGGGTGGCTGGATGGGATATGGGGTGGGCTACGGCGACTGCACCAGTGGCTGGTGGCCCACTGGAGGCCAGAGGACCAGGAAGTCAGTGAATAAATTTTGCATGTGCACAGAGGCAAGATAAAGAACGGGTCCTCTGTCTGGGATGGGGGCCTGGCACCTGGAGCCCCTTCCTAAAGGAAACACTCACTCTGCCCAACACAAATCCCCCAAGAAATCCTTTCTCAGGCTCAGGGCTCTGGAAAACCTCCAGATAATTAGTGGGCGGAGAGGAGGGGGCCTAACGCCTGGAGAAGTGAGAGTCAGGGGCCATTAACTGGGGGTGGCCAGGCTGCACAGCCTTCCTCTCCTGCCCTCTCCAGCACCCCAGGCCAGGGAAGCATGGGCCAAGTGGTGGTGGCCCTCCTGTGACCCTGCGTGAGGTCCCTGGTGCTGGAACCCCAGGCCCAGCATTCCAGGAGCCTCAGGGACCTGCCTCCAGAACTTCCTTTGTCCCCGCACCTGCCCGGGGGCAAAACTGGGATGGTCAGTGTCAGCCACAACACACGTGGCAGGTGGCCCCACCCTCAGTTCAGCTGAATGAGATCTCAACGCTGTAGAATGTCATCTCTCCGGTGGGATGGTGGGCGGCAAGAGTCAGCGGCCCGGGAGAGCCTTCCCGTGCCGGCACGTGTCCTACATGCTTCGTGGAATGGCATCCTCCAGGTGGGACAGTGAGAGGGGTTCAGGAATTCACTGGAGGCCAGGGTGCTGGGGCCTTGTGGGGTCAGACTCAGGTCTGTTTCTCTCCAGACCCGAGACGTCCCCTTAGGAGGATACAGCCGCAACACACATCCTCATGGGGGAAACCCAAGCGAACTGTGTCCCCAGAGGCCAGCTGCGGCTGCCACCCTAGGTGTGAGAGCAGATAATGAGGCTGGAGGGAGGGCACCCGCCCCGCGTCAGGCTGAGGAGGGTGGACGGTGGGGGAGGGCCTGCCACCGGGACCAGAGTCGTGGAGCTTGCATACGTCCTGAGTCCTGCTTGCAGGCTTCTTTGCAGGGGTTTTCAGACCCTTGGAATCTTTCAAGTGTAGAGAACAGATATCGGGCAAATGCCCTGCTCACAGAGTATCACATTGGACAGCCCTTGATCCATCCTGTTTCCACCTGGAATCTCTCAGCTTAGGAACTCATCGTTCCTGGGCCTGGCTTGTGTATCTCCTTGGCCTTGCACGTTTGGTCCTGCTCTGCACCTCGTTTGAACATCGTGTGAGTGGGTTTACACTGTTCCCCACGTGATGTGTTGAGATGCAGCCCGTTTGCTGCGTGAAGCTGTGGTTTAGCGGGAGTGAGAATGTCGCCCACGGCGTTTACCTGCTCTCCTGGCAGGGACGTTTAGGGTCCTTCCAAGGCTTTGCTACTGCAACAACGCTAAAACGGACCTTCTCGCAGATGACTCCTTGTGCTAACACGAGTGAGCTCTTGAGGAGAACTTGCCTTGGAGTGGGATTGCTGGGCAGAGGGCGTATCTTCACCCATGAAACTTAACAAATGACTTGGGGGGGTGGTGCTGTACCAATGCAGGCGCCCCCAGCGGAGTAAGAGAGGTCACCGACACTCGGGACGCGCACACCTCTAATTTTTGCCCATCGATGTCTGTGGACGGCCGGTCACTCTTGCCTGAATTAGAGTTTCCCTCAGGACTCTGAGCACCTCTGCCCAGGAGTTCAGGCATTCAAGTTACTGACTCTGTGCAATGCCCCTCACAGCCTTTACTCATTTCTCCATTGAAATGTTTTTGTCTTTTATTTTTCCTTATTGTGCTTTATTTGTTTTGATGAACACTTTATTCAAAGACAACGGACATACAGAAAAAATGCAAAAGTCGTAAGTGTGCAATCAGGGGAATTTTCACAAAATGGGCACACCCATGTATTCAGCACCCAGATCAAGAAACAGAACATTCCGGAATCCCAGAGGCCCCCTTGGGTCCTTCCAGTCGCTACCCCACCTTCCCCACCAAAGGCAGGGACTTCGCTGACTTGTAACCCTGTCCACTCACTTTGCTGTTTCTGAACTTTACAGGGAGGAAGCATGCAGCGTGTGCTCCCACGGGGCTGGTTCTTCTGTGGGATGTTGGTGTTGAGGTGCATGGTGTGGTGGCGGGAATAATCGCTGGGGCGTTCTTGTTCCTCCACAGTGTCACCTTGTTCAAGCGTCTGATTCGGTTATCCGCCCTATTGTTGAGGGACTCAAGTTGTTTCCAGGATTATTTTGATCGAAGGTCTTATGAGCAGTCTCGTAAACGCCTGCAGGCAGGCCCTGCGCCCTCTCTGCTGGGTGTCAGCGTGCGGTGGGATTCCTGCGTCAGGACAGGTGGTCTGGTTTGGTCAGTACTCCAGGCAGTCTCCCCACCGCTCGCCCTGATGGAGACCCTCGGGCAGCGCCCTATGACTCGCCGTTCCAGGCTACACTGGGGCTGTCAGTCTTTCAAATCTGGCCGAGCTGCAGGGGTGCGGTGGCAGCTCCTCCCGCCCTCCATCTGCGTTTTCCTGGTGCCCAAGGAGACCGGGCGCTGCTTCGCGTTTATTGCTCCCCTTTCGTAAAAGGCCTGCTCAAGACCTGCCCATCTTTCTGTAAGGCTGTCTGTTGCTTTCTCTTGGATTCTGCACGTTCTTCCGGACGGGGGCCTTTTGTCACTTCTCTTGCTGCAGATGTCTTGCCCCACACTCCAGCTGGCTTTTTACTCTCCTAATAGTGTTTGGTAATGGATGGCATTCCTTAATTTTACATAGTTTGGTTTATTAATCTTTTCCTTCTGAGTGCCTTGCTTAAAATCTTGGCTGCCCAAGGTCATGAATGTATTCCGTGATACCCTCTAGTAGCTTCACTGTTTTTCCTTTCACATTTAAGGCTCCATTCAACCTGGAATATGTATTTTTGCATGGTGTGAGCTAAGAGCCAAGTTTCCTTTTTTTGTATGACTATCCAATTGACCCAGGGCGACTGATTAAAAACACCATCCCTCCCTCCTCTTTTGCACGGCCACGTTTGTCGGTGGCAAGTGTCCATATAAGCGTGCATCTGTTTCTGGACTCTGTTCTGCTCCAAGAGTCTGTAAGGATGAGGGGGAAATCGGGATGGAGCTAGCCAGCTGTATCTAGAGACGGGAAGTGCATTAGTCTTCTAGGCTGCGTAATAACCACCACACACTTAGTGGCCTGGAACACCACTCATGTATCATCGCGGAGTTTCTGTGGGTCAGGAGTCTGGGTCCAGCCTGACTCTCTGCTTGGAGTCTCACAAGACAATAGTCAAGGTGTCGGCAGAAATCAGTTCCTCGTGGCCGTGGAACTAAGGTCCTCATTTTCTTGCTGGCTGCCTGCCAGGGTCTGTCCTCAGCTCCCAGAAGCTGCTCTTGAGTCCTCGACATGTGGCCCCCTCCATTCTCCAGACCAGCATCAAAAACTCTGCCTTATGTCTAATCTCTGTCACGCTTCAAACCTCTTCTGCCAGAACAGTCCTGCTCCCTTTAAGGGCTCATCTGCTTATGTGAGGCCCACCAAGGGAATCTCCGCATCAACTGTTTCGGCACTTTAATCGCATCTGCACATGAAATTCCTGTTCCCACCACTGCGGGCTGGACGTGTTGGGGTGGATGACAGGTGTTGGTGGAACTGGGGAGCCATTTCCAGATCTAGAGGAGAGGAACACATGACACTGGGAGACCTCGGGTCTGAGACGATGCTATAACTGACGGGAATGTCTTTGCTCTCATAGCAATAGAATTGCTGGATGTGAGCTCAGCACGTGACTGCCTGGAATAAGCCCCACACGCCCGCCTCCCTCGCAGCTAGTTGTGGCCGTACTGACAATTCGACTATTGGAGTGGAAGTGACGTGTACAGTTTCAGGATTGTGCACTTAAAAATCTTTCTTGTCTTTCTTGGAACTCCTGTCCTGTGCAGACGTGTGGTCGAGGTCTTGAATCTTCTTGGATCAGACAGCCGAGAGTCGTGCCCTAGAGGTGAGGAGGACAAAATAGAAGTAGCCCGACTCCTGCAATAACCCCCTAAAGGGAGCAGCCGTGCCGGCCGTGGACGGGCTCCCTCCAACACGTTGGGGAGGGAGAGTTGAGTCTTACGTGTTTGAACTACTGTATGTTTGACTTGTTGACATTTTTTCAATGTCAAATGCTTTCAAACCTAAGCCGAACTAATACTTATGGCAAAAGACTCGAACTAGACTTTCCAACATTAATCCATTCTGCGTTCCTCCGATAAATCCAGTTCGGTCGTGAAGTTTTATTTTTTCTTTGTCTTCATGGTTCACATTGCTGGACTCAATTTTTGGCTGTATTATTTACGATTTTTAAAAAATCCGTGTTCGTAAGTGAATTTAGCCTATAATTTTCCCGTTTCGTATTGTCCTTTTCTGATCTTGACTATCAAAGTGATTTTACCTTCATTAAATGAATTGGGAGGGGCATTTATTCATTCATATTTCTGAAAAAGTTTGTTTAAAATTGGAACTTTATATTCAATGAAAATTTTGGAGACTATCCTCTGAAATACTCTGGTTCTCATGGTGTATTTTGTGAGTGTACTTTGAATTATCTTTAAAGGTAAAAGATTTTTCCAGATATTTATATTTCGTTTTTAGCTAGTTTTTTATAAAAAAAACTAGATTACGGAATTTTTCTGGATTTCACCAGTTTTCATGCTATTGTATTTTTTCTGTCCAGGACCCAACCCAGGACCCCACGTGGTCTCGCTGTTGCGCCTTCTCGGTCTCCTTCGGTCCATGGCAGCTCATCTCTTCCCTCGTCATTCATGGACCTGGACACTTTCGAAGAGTACAGGTTTGGCATTTTGAAGAATGTCCATAAACTTGGGTTTGCTTTGTCTTCTCATGATCACATTGAGGTTGTGGATTCGGGAGGAAGAATGCCGCAGAGACGACGTGCCCTTCTCAGTGCATCGTACCGGGGAGCATGTGACGTTACTACGTCTTTCCACAGGGGATGCTAACCTTGGTCTTTCAGTTAAGGTGGTCTCTGTCGGGTTTTACACCATAAAGTTACTGTTTTCCATTTGTAATTAATAAATATTTGAGAGGAAATACTTCAAGGCTGTACAAATATCTGGTTTATCCTTAAACTTTTACCCACTAATTTTAGCTTCCATCAGTAGAGCTCGCCTACAGCAATTATTTCTATGATTTTCTAATGATGATTTTTAAATTTCCTTCCATTCATTTTACGTTTATTAATTGAAATGTTTCTGTAAGGAAGAGTTGCCCATTCACCCACATTTGTTTATTTATTGAATCATTTGCTTATGAACTCGTGGGTATTTTTCCCTCTGAGTTTTAATCTAATACTATTATTTATTATATTACTCAAATTGTTACAACTCTGGCCACTGAGAGCTCTTTCTGATTGGTTCCTGTGTTCTTTAGACACACCCCCCTACTCCAATTTGTTCACTTTTATGAAGATTGCTTTGACTATTGGGGGTCCTTTGCATCTCCATATGAATTTTAGGATCAGATTGTCAATTTCTGTTTTTAAAAGTGCCAAGTGGGAATTTGATAGGGATTTCACTGAATCTCTAGATCGATTAGGGGAATGTTGCCATTTTCAAAATATTAAATCTTCTGATCCTTGAACATGGGTGCCTTTCCATTCATTTACATCTTTAGTTTCTTTCAACAGCGTTTTATAATTTTCAGTGTACAAGTCATGAACATCTTTTGTTAAATTTATTCCTAAGGATTTCATTGTTCTTGAAGCTATTATGTGTGGAAAGGTTTTCTTAATTCCATTTTCAGAGAGCTCATTGCTATTGTATATAAACATGATTACTTTTGTATATTGATCTTATATCCTGCAACTTGCTGAACTTGCTTATTAGTTCTAAATTTTTTTTTATTCCTTAGGATTTTCTATGTACAAGATTATATCATCTGTGAATAGATGTACGAATGCCTTTTATTTCTTTTTCTTGCCTAGGTACCCTGCCAATTCCCCCAGAACAATGTTGAGTCGAAGTAATGAGGGCTGACATCCTCGTCTTGCTCCCAATGTTAAGGGGAAAGCTTTCAGTGTTTCACCGTTAAGTATGAGATTAGCTGTGGATTTTTCATACGTGTCTTTTATCAGATTGAGGAAATTCCCTTCTATTCCCAGTGTGTTGAGTGTTTTTACCATAAAAGGGTGTCAGATTTTGTCAAATGCTTTTCCTGCATTTATTAAGATGATCATGTTATGTTTGTCTTATTCTGTTAATTTGGTGTATTAGATTAATTGATTTTCATATGTTGAACTAGCCTGACTTTCTTGGCATAAATTCCACTTGGTCATGGCGTATAAACTTTTCCATGTGTCACTCAATTCAAATTGCTAGTATTTGTGGATGGTTTTGCATCAATGTTCATAAAGGAGTCAAGTTTTTTGTTTTGTTTTGTTTTGTTTTATTCTAGTGTCATTTTCTTTTCTTGGGATGTCTTTGTGTGGCTTTGGTGTGAGGACATTATTGCCTTGTAGATTGGGTTAGGAAATACGCCCCCTTCTATTTTTCTGAGAGTTTCTGAAGGATTGCTGTTAATTCTTTTTAAACGTTTGGTGGAAACTGGAGAACCAGGAGAATTGATGGTGTAGCTCTTGTCTGAAAGCTGTCAGGCTCAGGGCCCAAGAGCACCTGATGGTTCAGTTCAACCCTGAAAGGAGGGAAAAATCGAGGTCCCATCATGCAGGCAGTGAGGCAGGAGGGGTTCCCTCTTACTCATGGGAGGGGCACACTTTTGTTCTGCTCAGGCTTTCAACTGATTGGACGAGGCCCACCCACATTGGGAAGAGGAATCTGCTTTACTCAGTCTGCTATTCAAATTTGAATCTCGTTCAGAAACACCCTCATGGACGCACCCGGAATAACGTGTGACCAAGCGTCTGGGCACCCCATGGCCCAAAATTAACCATCACCCCGTCCTTCTGCTCGCTTTAGGTTAATTTGCTCCTCTTTCTTCCAGTGTCGTAAGAGGGAAGGTTGCATTATTGATTTGAGATATTTCTTCTTTTTTAATATAGGTGTTTTCAACTATAACTTTTTTGCTAAGTACTGTGTTGGCCGCGTCTCATAAATTTTAGTATTTTATGTTTTCATTTTCTCTCATCTCAAAGTAATTTCAAATTTCCCTTGTGACTTCTTCATTGACCTACCAGTTATTTACAAGCGTGTTGTTTAATTTCCACGTATTTGTGAATTTCCAAAATTTTCTTCATTACTGACTTCTGCTTTCATCCCATTGTGTGCCGAGCACATATTTTGTATGATTTCAATCCTTTTAAATTTATCGAGGTCTGTGTTGTGGCCAACGTGTGGTCTGTCCTGGAGAATGTTTCGTGTGCACTTAGGAAGACGGCGTGTCCTGCCGCCGCTCGGTGGCGTGTGCTCTACGTGTCTGTGGGGCTTACTTGGCTTGTAGTGTTTTTGCAATATTCCGTTTCATTGGTGGTCTTCTTCCTGGTTGTTGTATTCGTTATTAGAACTGGGGTATTGAAGTCTCCAACTACTATCGTGAATTGTCTCTTTCCTCAATTCCATCAGTTCTCATTTCATGCTTTTTGGGCCCTAGTTTTAGATACCTGTATGTTTATAATCGCTACATCTTCCTGATGGATTGAACCTTTTATCACTAGAAAATGTCCTTCTTTGTTTCCCATAAAATTTTTGCCTTAAAGTTATTTTATCTGATATTAACATGGCCACTCCAACTCTTTTTTGATATCTGTTTGCATGATGTATTTTCTGCTCTCCTTTGACTTTCAAGCTATTTGTGTCTTTGAATCTAAAGTGCGTCTTTTGTATACAGCATATAGTTGGATTATGATTTTTAAAAATAGGGACCTGAGCTAACATCTGTTGCTAGTCTTTTTTTTTCTTTTCTTCTTCTTCTCCCCAAAGCCCCCCAGTACATAGCTGTATATTCTAGTCGTGAGCGCCTCTGGTTGTGCTATGGGGGACGCCACCTCAGCATGGCCTGATAAGCGGTGCCATGTCTGTGCCCAGGATCCAAACTGGCAAAACCCTGGGCCTCCAAAGCAGAGGGCGTAAACTTAACCAGTCAGCCATGGGGCCGGCCCCTCCAAATTTCTATTTGAATTTTTTTTTATAATTTTGCATTTTCCCTTCTTCTCCCCAAAGCCCCCCAGTACGCAGTTGTATATTCTAGTTGTAGGTCCTTCTGGTTGTGGCATGTGGGACACCACTTCAGCATGGCTTGATGAGTGCCACGAGGTCCATGACCGGGATCTGAACCAGCAAAACCCTGGGCCGCCGAAGCAGAGCATGCAAGCTTAACCACTCTGCCATGGGGCCGGCCCCCGTTTGATTCCTTCTTATAATTTCTGTCTCTTCGTTGATGTTCTCTCTTTGATGAGGCATCACTCTTAGACTTTCCCTTAGTTCTTTAGACATGATTTCCTTTCGTTCTTTGAACGCATTTATGACAGCTGACGTAAATCTTTGTCTCGTAAGTCTGACACCTGGGCTTCCTCAAGGACAGTCTCTGTTGACTGCTTTTGTCCTATTATGGCTGCGCTGTCCTATTTCTTTGCATGTCTCATAATTTTTTGTCGAAAAATGAACATTCGGGATAACACAATGTGGCAACCCTGGAAGTGACATTCTCCTCCCACTATGGTGTTTGTTGTTGCTGCTGTTTGTTTATTCAGAGACTTTCCTGAACTAATTCTGTAAAGTCTGTACTCTTTGTCGTGTGTGGCCACTGACGTCTCTGCTTGGTTTGCTGAGTGGTCAGTTCATGTCCTTGGATATCTTGAACCGATAAGGCTCTCAGACTGCCGAGGGGACTTCACCACTTCAGCAGGCAGGTTACGACTCCGCCTCAGCCTTATTTCCTCCTCGGGCAGAGTCTCAAGGTCAACTGCGGGTGAGAGATTAGGGCCTTCTGAGCTCTTTCCTGGGCGTGTGCACATCCTTGCACGTGCACCTGCATTTCTAGACTCCCAGGAACATGCTGGAATCGCCCCCTCCACTGGTTGTCGGGCTGCTGGTTTTCACAGCTATCATGACTGATGGGCTGTTGGTTTGCAGGCTGGGGAGAGGGATATGGGGCAGGGCAAGCTGAAATGCCTCAAAGCTCTCTATTCTTTGAACATATTTATAACATTTATAAGATTCTGCCATTTCATGGAACAACGGCTCTTCAAGTTGTTGGAGGCCTTTGATGAATTTACTGTCATGAGAAAGTTGATTTTGACCGTTTTGCAGTGTTCTCCTTGCCTTTATGGAAGAGCACTTTTAGAGGTCCTTACTCCACTGTTCTGGAAATGCTTCTCTCCAGGGAGACTTTTAAAATTTCCATCTCAGTCCAGATAAGACAAGCAAGCTTCCTTGTAATATTCCTGTGGTGGTAAGTGGAGTTTGAGAATCACTGCCATTCCCTTCACTGAGGTGGTAGCAGGGACTGTGACTTCCCACAGAAGTCCCCATCCCGGTGCTCGCCCTTTTGTGCTAAAGGGCCTCATCTCCTGTCCTGGGAGCCCACTTCAAGCCCCTTTATATCAAGACCAGCATCTGGGAGCCAGCCCCCAGCCAGCCACAGCATTAGCTCACCTCGATTGCTATTCTGGGTCATGGTATTCATTTTTGGGCCCCTGGAAATTTCCATTACTCTTTTTCAAGCTCAGCTCTTCATTTAAAAGATATGTGTCATATTTTACCTGACATTTCTAAGCTATTTTTTAAACAGGAGCATTCTCGGGTTATCTTGAGAAGAATACGCCTGGGAAAAGGAGCTCTGTTGTCTGTTTGAATACCCACACAAACATGCACACACACAACCACCTAAACGTAATAGGTAGAAGCAGGAAGCATCGATCTGTGACAAGGACAGCAGGTGTGATTATCTTGCGCGCAGATGAGAGAGTCTGACCCGGGTCTGGAGGTCTTCAGTCCTGCCCAGTCCACCTGTGACTCTCATTGGAGGTGTTTAATGTGTTGGGAGTGAGGTATTTGGGGTGCTGCTGGCAGCCAGCACTGGGGGAGCCTCCACTGTGCAGACAGGGGCCTGCCTTTCCTGAAGAAGCAGTCTGGACCCCTTGGGACTCTTGTTAAGGTCCCAGGAGCCTCCCCTAACCAGTGTTCAGATACAGGAGAAGCTTCAATGGAGAGACTGTCTGCTCACTACAGCACCTGCCAGGAGGACATGTTAGAAAGAGAGTATTGTGGACTGAATGTTCGTGTGCCCCGCCCACCATTCATGCGATGAAATCTTAACTCCCAGTGTGATGGTATTTGGAGGTGAGGCCTTGGTGGGGGTGGAGCCCTCATGAACGAGCTCAGTGCGCCTATAACAGGGACCTCAGAGAGCACCCTTGCCCCTTCCACCATGCGAGGACACAGCAAGAAGATGGCCATCTATGAACCAGAAAGTGGGCCCT